ATGGGACGTGGTTTCAGAAGTCAAGAGCAGTTTTAGGAGCATTTCAGGGAAAATCTCCCTAGCCTCCTGGCACTGTGAGTCTCTCCTCCATACTCCCCACATCACACAGAAAAAGCTTTCCAAATTTCTCTTCAGTCTGTGAACCACTTTTCAAAGTAAATGGGCAGTCTATAAAACTAGAAGGAACTAGAGGAACCGGAACTGCAAGGTTTGTGAGAGGCAGGAAATCCAAGGGAGTTGGGGTGGGAGCTGCCCATACAATATGGGGGAAAGAGGAAAGAGTGGATCAGGCAAAACCGTGGTAAGTGCCCCCAAACTCTCCACTGCATTTAGAAGAGATTCCAAATCTTTTGTGATAAGGTCTTTTGCAAGTTTATACTCTCTTGGGTTGGTTGGTTGGTTTGTTGTTTGTTTTAACTGTCAAAGCTACTGCAAGATTCCAGGCAGGTTGGCTCCCTTGGGGGACACTTGATCCTCCTTAACCTGTCACCAGTTACTTCTTCCATACAAATGAACCTGTCTGCTGGCCCCTGCTCCCAATTCTAAACCCAGTCTCCACCACTGAACTCAGAACTCAAACACATTCGGAAGATTCATCTTAATTAAATCCACTTCTGCATATCTCTCTTAATAAAAGTTGGGGGCGCCTGGGTGGCTCAGTTTGTTGGACATCTGACTCTCGATTTTGGCTCAGGTCATGATCTCAAGGTCACAGAATCAAGCCCCATGTCAAGCTCCGTGCTCAACTCAGAGTCTGCTTGAGATTCTTTCTCTCTCTCTCTGCCTCTGCCCCTCCCCCGCTCGTGCTCTCTAAATTAATTAATTAATTAATTAATTAATTTAAAAAAACAGGCTGACACTGACTCTGGGTTTTCCGTATTTTTTGTGTACAAGGTCATGAGCTCCTTGATGCAAGTACTACCTTTTTGTCTTTTTCCCTATTCCTACCTCATGGTACCTAGGACTCTTCAGCCATTTAAAGACTAACTGTTGATTGGTTTTTGCAGAGATGCCGGTATATTCCAGGAAAAAGGCAATGAAAAAAATGAGAGAGAGAGAGAGACATGATTAATGACCTAATGATCTCTAACAGATGGAAGCATTTTTGGCTGTTGGAGCTCTAGGGCAATCCATAGCCAACAGTATTGGAATCATGCTAAGCAATGTAAGTTCCAAAAGAAAACTTATTCATACTCCAAATTTACTGGTCCTAGTAGAACAGGTTTCAAGGTACATGTGTTGGTTCTTTCTTGCAAATGTAAGAATAGAAACAAAGAATAATGCCCGCCCCGCCCCCGCTACCCCCCACCGCCAAAGATGTCCTGCCCTCATCCCTAGAATATATTCTCTTTCCAGATATGGTTAAGAATACGGACCTTGAAATGGGGAGGTAATTGTGAATTATCCAAGGGGGACCCAATCTAATCACATAAGTCTTTAAAAGCAAAAAACCTTTCCCAGCTACAGCCAGTGAAGACAGATGTGACGATGGAAGAAAAATCAGAGAGATGCAACATTGGTGGCTTGAAGACAGAGGAAGAGGGCCATGAGCCAAGGAATGCAGGTAGCCTCTAGATGCTGGGAAAAGCAAAGAAACAGATTCTCCCCGAGAGGCCTCCAGAGAGGAACACAGCCCTGCTCACACCTTAACTGTAGCTCAGACTTCTAAGCTTATGAAACTGTAAGATAACAAATTTGTGTTGTTTTAAGTCACCCATAATTTGTTAACGGTAGTGATAGAAAACTAATAGAAAAGGCAATCCTCCTTTTCAGCATGGCCCTGTAAAGGGGTGAACAGGCATTCACTGCTGGACCCCCAAACCAGAGAGATTTCTTATTCTGGCTGAAACTGTCCCTCCAGTCCCCCTTCCTCCCCTTGCAACTTGGCTGACTTTGTCATCTTTCAAGATTCCACACAAACTTTCTCTCCTGTGAAAAATCTTAGTTTTACCTACAGAGGCTATAAATTTCCCAAATATGAGGACCATGTTATATTCTTGGTGAATGTTAGTTTGAACGATGGACTTAATTAATTATCATTTGATGGAGTATAAAAATAAGGGCCAATAAAACTACTTTCTTGTTACTGCTTTTAAGAAAGGAATAAAATCACTTGCTAGGACCCGCCTACATTCACAGCCATGAAGTCCTACCTTATTCCTTCTCCTCCTCTCTTTGGACACACACACACACACACACACACACACAGAGCCTGACAGAGGTGAACCCCAGTTTCTGACTGTTCAGAGTCAGATAAGTAAGCAAGATGTGCATCCCCGGTGAAGAGTACAAGCTGTAGGGGGTCAAAGACTGAACCCAGAAAGTTGCAAGGCACGGGAAAAGTTCTAAAATGTGGAGATTAAAGACAGAGCCAAGGTTGAGAATTAAATAACAGAACTCAGTGTTGTGCTGGTTTTAAAATATGTCTACAAATACTCTGACACTCCTTTCTTCAAAAGGTGGAGACTAAATTCCCTCCCCTTGAGTATGGGCTGGAGTGAGTCCCTTCTAATGAACACAATATGGCTGACATGAACAACATGTGATCATGTCGCAAAAGTCATTACAACTTCCTCCCCTCGATCTCTTTCTTTCTCCTCCCCCCTCCAACCTCCTCATTATTTGCTCTAGAGGAAGTGATTTGCCAATAGTCACATGAGTGAACTGTCTTGGCAGAAGATTCCTAAATCTTCAGACAACTGCAGACCCAGCCCACAACTTTTTTTTTTTTTAATTTTATTTATTTATTTGACACAGAGAGAGAGAGGGAGAAAGCAAGCACAAGCAAGGGGAGTGGCAGGGAGAGGGAGAAGCAGGCTCCCTACTGAGCAGGGACCCCGATGCGGGGCTCGATCCCAGGACCCCGGGATCATGACCTGAGCCAAAGGCAAACGCTTAACCGACTGGGCCACCCAGGCACCCCCACCAGCCCACATCTTGACAACCACAGGATGAGTCCGTGAGCCAGAACCATTCAGCCAAGTTTCTTTCAAATTCCCAAACACAGAAACTATGAGATAATAAATGTTCGCTGTTTCCAGCCACTAAGTTTTGGAGTTATTTGTTATGCAGTAATAGATAGCCAATATGTATGAGACACAATCCCTTGGGCAGAGGCTGCAAATTGGAAGTCAAGATCCTAATTCAGTCTACAAATACATTTTCCGCAGCTCATCATGTTTTTTATGAGCCAAAATTTAAAAATCATTTAAATTCATTTAGAAATCTCGATTTCCAGTCTCTCCTCAAAAATGTGCAGATCTGGCTCCCTGCTCGGCAAGGAGCCTGCTTCTCCCTCTGACCCTCCCCCCTCTCATGTATTCTCTCTCTCTCTCTCATTCTCGCTCTCTCAAATAAATAAATAAATCTTTAAAAAAAAAAAATGTGCAGATCTGGCAACACAAAGGCCTGCACTCTGGTCCGGCGGCTGTGAGTGAGAACTGAGGATCTGCCTTCTGCTGTAGGCTCTCCCGAGCTCCCTGGAGCCCCCCCAGCCCCACTAACTATTCATCTCTACGCCGACTCTAACAGCATGGCTTTTGCACTGCTCTTTCTCTTGTATTAGAAAAATACTTTCTCATGTCTTATATCTCTGTGAAAACTAGGAAAGATAAACTGAAAGGGCTTATGTGTCTTAAGAAATCTAGAACAGGGGCGCCTGGGTGGCTCAGTTGGTTAAGCATCTGACTTTGGCGCAAGTCATGATCTCGGGGTCCTAGGATCGAGCCCCACGTTGGGCTCCATGCTCAGCGGGGAATCTGCTTCTGCCCCTCCCCCTCACGTGCATGCTCTCTCTCTCTTTCTCTCTTTCTCTCTTTCATATAAATAAATAAAATCTTTAAAAATCAAAAAAGAAAGAACACTTATTTTTTGGTGGGAGAAAAGAATATCCCTGCATGCCTAATATGCCATCAATGAGCATCTGCGTCAAATACACACAACTTAAGATTCCAGAAGATTCTAGAAGCTTTGTTCATTAGGCAGATGGACTGGCCCCCGTAATGAGTTGGCTAAAGCTGCTCTTTCTCACCCTGGGCTCTTTGAAAAGGGGTTAAGGTAAGGAAGATGAGTTTGCTAGATTTGGCTTTGAGCATCTTAAAGAAGCCACCAACATGACACTTTTCCTCTCATATTGCTTGTTTTGAGAAAAACCTTGTTGAGAACATAGTAGCCATCAAATCTTCTGGTTTTGTACTTACAATAATTGCTTAGCTTCAGCTTCTTACTGCTGACTCAAATTGTGTCTGACCACATCCATATTGACTAATCAGAAATAACCTCAAGCACAACCCCTACTTTTCCATAAATGCATATATTACTATTCCTAATGTCTCTAGGAGACATAAACACTAGCTCAGTGTTTATTTTCGTTGACAAGAGTCAACGAATTTCAGCACACAAGCCAAATCTGGCCCACTGCCGTCTTTAATAAATAAAGTTTTATTAGAACACAGCCACACTCATATTCATTTCCATGTTGTCCATGGCTGCTTTTGCCCCACGGTGGCTGAACTGAGTAATTGTGACAGAGACCTTATGACCTGCAAGCCTAAAATTTTACTATCTAGGGACACCTAGGTGGCTCAGTCAGTTAAGTGTCTGCCTTCGGCTCAGGTCATGATCCCAGGGTCCTGGGATCGAGTCCCCCACTGGGCTCCTTGCTCAGCAAGAAGCCTGCTTCTCCCTCTGCTTGCCACTCCCCCTGCTTGTGCTCGCTCTCTCTCTCTCTCTCTGACAAATGAATAAACAAAATCCTAAAAAATATATATCTATTTACTATCTAGCCACTTCTTGAACAAGAAGGATAAAATACAAATATTTTGATAGTTAATAAGATAAGAACACATTGTGTTTCAAAGGAACACAACATGGGAAACAGTGAAGTCACCATGCCCTCTCCAGAATACTTGCCTTATAACTTATAGTCAATAACTCTAAGCTTACTTTACCTTACAAATGGACATAAATAGGACAGTGTTTTAAACTGAAAATGAACTCACGGTGGCTAGTTTCTGAACATCTTCATCTGACGCTCCCAGAGATGCCAGGCCTATTTCTTGTGAAAACTGAGCAAACTTAGGATCCGCAAGTAGTGGAACATGTCCCAGGAGTTCATGGCATGTGTCTCTGACAAGAAAAACATCGTAAAAAAAAATATTATACGAAAGGCTTTAAACTATCACTGGTAGAACAGGACTTAAAATCATAAATATAACCTTGGTTTATAATTAATTGCTGTGACCAAATTTCATCAAATCTAAGACTTTTTTTTAATCACCTTTCAATATCTCTGAAATCCAGATGCACCTTACAATTCATGACATCTTCAATTATATGATATCCAAAATTTGTAATAAATAATAGCAATGACTATTTTCAAGTGCTTACCGTATGCCAACCACATGGTAAGTGTTTTATTACATTCACTATCCCTTTTAATCCTCAAGAGAAACTTAGAGAATTAAAGTAGCTTAACAGTACAAAATCCGATAGAGCAGGGGTGGGCAACCTACAGTCGCAGGACAAATCTGGCCCACCACCCGTTTATAAATAAAGTTAATTGGAACATAGCCATAGCTCATTCGTTTATGTACTGTCTATGGCTCTTTTTAACTAAAACTGCAGAGCTGAGTAGTTGTGACTAAGACCATATGGCCCGCAGAGCCTAAAATATTTACTAGCTGGCCCTCTACAGAAAAAGTTTGCCATGGTGATAAAGCCAAAATTTGAATCCAGCTTATGGTGACTTCTACACTGTTGCTTTTTTTTAACCCTTAAGTTGCACATACTGCCATGTTACACTTCGCAGACACCAGGACACAGCAGAGGATCATATTGTCATCCTAAAAGTGGCTTTTCCCATCAACGAGTTATCTGCCTATAACACAAGCAACTCCCTTGAACTTGCCCAGTGGAGAACCTTCCCAGTCCTCTGCTTTGGTTCACCTGAACTAGATAACAGAAGCTTAGATCTGCTCTCATTTGCCTGCGCTTCCATTTGGAGCCAAATGATCAGGCAAAGGCAGGTACATGTCCCAGGGAAGCAAGGCAGATGCCTTCCTGAGTCATTGCCATGAATCACAAAGTGTTCCCTGATCCTAAGCTATATTTGAATGAATCCCCCTATGATTCTCTGGGAATGGATCAAGAAGATGCAAAATTTTATTTTCCTGGCAAAAAGGAATCAGCCAGGTAGTATTTGAAAGATGTTTCCTAACTTCACCTGGGCTCCTCTCAAGTGTATCACTTCAAATAGATGCTAGAATATAAATGCCAGGTGCTGCCACTATGATTAAAAGTATAAAGTACGTTGGGTGGTTATGCGGTTGAAGCAAATTGATGGTGGTCAAAGGCACAAGATTGATGCCCACATAAAACAGATGGCATTACTCAATCAAAAAATCTTGTTCCCGCAACTCAAACCACATCCCCAGTCTTGGCCAGCCACTTCATAGGTATATCAGGTTGAAAAGGCAGCCAAATGAGAATATGGAGACAGGATACTAAAAGAAATTCCCAATTTATTCCCTGTCAACTGTGTGCCAATAGCTTTCTTTTTACACATGACTGAATGTGTGGAAAAGAATACATGGTTGTTACTCTCCAATCGTATTATTTAAGGCAGAGAATCAGACTCATTGGATTTTAGGGCACAAGGAGAATTTAAACATTATATGAGTCCTTCCTTTTACCTATAAAGACATTAAAGACAGAAGGGAAAAAAGAAAGAAAGCGAACATATTCTGAGCTCCTATTATGTGCTGGGTACTACACTAAATGTTCTCATATCGTATCAGTAATTTATCTTTACTTACAAAGAAGTCTTATGATTCCCATTTGATAGATGGGGAAACCATAATTCAGTAAATTTAAGCATCTTTCCAAGGTCACACTCTTAATAAGAGACAGACAAGATTTGAAATCAAATTCTTCTGACTTGAACCTGTGCTCTTCCTGCTCTGTTGTTTTATCTAGCAGATGTGGAGTAAGTAGGAAGGGATAGGTCAGGGGGCACCGCTTACATGGTAGAGAGAGAGTTTAACCAAGCTGGTTAGCACAAGTAAAAATGCAGTCAGTATGTTGCAAGTCTATTTTCCTGCCACTCAGTGGCCCTGAATCCTCTAAATTACTTGAGGAGCCTTTTTAAAAATACCAGTGACCAGGTCTTATGTAAAACCAATTCAATCCAACTCTCCAGGATAGACCAGAGCATCTGTATTGTTTCAAGAGCTCCGAGGGTGCTAATGAGACACAGCCAAGGTGGAGACCCACTGTCGTAACAGATGATGCTAGGAGCTCTCCTAGCAGGCTTCGCGCAGCAAGGAATTGAAACGAAAGCCAAATGTGATTTTGTAATTTTGAGCTGCCTAAATTTAATTCCACTGAAATTACATCAGAATATAATAATAATAATAATAATGAAAGGTGGTGATAGAAAGTTCACTAGGTAGCTAATTACTCCTCTGCATGCATTTGATTCAGTTAAAGCATCTAATACCCCTATGCTGGGAGTAGACCCTATCGATGCACTCCCGTGACCAGTTTTTTAAAAGATCATACAGTCTGCACTGATGTTGGGATTAGGATCAAGTGGCCCACCATGGATAAATCTGAATACCTCCACTGTAGCCTATAATGCAAATACTAAAGCACCCCTACCTATCCAGGCAGAAAATATGACAACGATAATTCCAAAATTAGACCAGATGTCAAGCTTTGGGGAAAACTGAAGGCGGTGTAAATAAAATAGGTAAGCGGAAACTAAAATAACGAGTATTGTGACCAACACATTATCGAATGCTTGCTATGAGCCAGGCCATGTGCTAAGTGCTTCGTCATGTGAGAACGAGACAGGTCACGGCTACCATGACAGTTGATTCAGGGTGCAATACAGGATTTACTTTTGAGCTTGTTAAATCCTTGAAGAAGGCTGCTGCCGAAGATAGTCTTCTATCTACCTAGGTACTAATGGAATTCAAAAATGTACAGGTGTGGGTGCCCAGGTGGCTCAGTCATTAAGCGTCTGCCTTCGGCTCAGGTCATGATCCCAGGGTCCTGGGATCGATCCCCGCGACGGGCTCCCTGCTCAGCGGGGAGCCTGCTTCTCCCTCTCCCACTCTCCCTGCTTGTGTTCCCTCTCTTGCTGTGTCTTTCTCTGTCAAATGAATAAATAAAATCATTAAAAAAAATTTTTTTTAATGTACAGGTGGAAGGAAAAGTGAAGAGGTGGCAGCCAAAAAGGAAAAAAGAAGGAAAATACTAAGATCCAAAGACATTAAGGAGTCAATTCCCTGTAATAAAAAAAGGAGCTATCACCTAGATTTTAAGTTAAGGTGTCATTATCTGATAACTCATAGCCAACTTAAGAACCTTTAATAACATTCAAGTGACAAGGTAATCCAACTATTCATAGATGAGGATAAAAGAATGAATTTGAAAGGATGAAATCATACAACATGGCAGAATATACTGTTTCATTAAGAATGAAAGTCTGGGGGTGGCTGGGTGGCTTGGTCAGTTAAGCTTCCGACTCCTGATGTCGGCTCACATCTTGATCTTGGGGTTGTGAGATCAAGCCCACGTCTGGCTCCATGCTCAGCAGGGAGTCTGCTTGAGATTCTCTCTCCTCTCTCTTCCTCTGCCCCTTCCCCCATTCCCACTCACACTCTCTCTCTCTAAAATAAATAGGCAAATCTAAAAAAAAGAAAAAAAAAAAAGAATGAAAGCCTGAAGCAAGGTGTCTAACAGAATTACTGATGGAACGTGAGAGATGCCCTACACCCTGTTATAAGTAGAAATGCTAGTGCTGTATCTCACTGGTTTGTATCCTCTTCTCAGCTCCGTGTCCCCGCGTCCCCGCAGAGACCTTGAGGAAGAACTGCCACTCGGATTCCTGAGCAAGTGTGTGTGTGCAGTATGGACAGTAAGCCCATTTCTCATTGAGCCAAAGCTTTAAGCACCTATATTTCAAGACCAGAAACAAGGTTATCGTCTTTTATGACTGGTGCAACGTTCTCAGAAATAAACTCCATCCCAGTGTCTTTGGCTTAGACATGGGGTATAGACAAAGGAAACCGAAGTGCCTGGAAACCCTTCAACTAAACAGTGAAGGAAGATGTTTAATGTTACTAAAGATGTTTAAAATTACTTAACTTCGAAAAGTTTCTTTAGTTTCTGTGACACTGAAGGATTTAGAAGCTGAGGTTGACTGTGACTCAGAGCCTGAAAGAGGCTCCAGACTATTGGGAATCTGAAGGAAAAAGGCTGAGTCTTTTCTCCAACCTTTGTATCAATCAGGTTCTGTTGGGCTGAAATCACGCGGTTTCACCCTATTTTACAAAGTGCAATGGTTATTATGGCCGGCATATAAAGTAGTTCACGATCCCTCCATCGGTTGTGTCATCCACAGCTGGGACCCCTGAGTATCTAATTATGAACAGGTTTCCGAGGTGAGTCCACAACTGTTGCCTTATCACACCAGATCTCTCTTAAAAGATTCAATTATTTGGCTATAATTGCACCTGTCAGCACATGCTGCCTCCAATCTCCACATCGGCAAACTTTTCTCTTTTTAACTCGCATCCCTTTGATGCATTTTCGCCTGAATAATGCTTTCAGAAGCTTTTCACAAAAGCGCTCTGTTCACTGGAAATGTAGGACCTTTCAAAACTGTTAACACTGTAAAACATCATGTCTCCTTTTAAAAAAAAAAGAAAGAAAGAAAGAGAAAGAAAAGTTAGAGCTGATATCAGACTCTACACTTTTGCTGCTCTAAATTGGAATCTTCTCTGATAAGCCCTGTTAGGAGGATTTTAAAGCCTGCCGAAATGGGCCCACAAAAGGGCCTGGGCAAAATGCCTCCGGGGAATTCTTAGATCATTCTAAGAAAGTTGCGATCATCTTGCCGCGGGGAAATAAGGGTCCTGGTTGTTAAGTTCACATTCAAAATGAGTCTGGCATTTTTCTCCTCTTACCAGTTTTCAAAGCTGACTCCTCACGCCACGTGTTGAACAACTCCTTTTTATTTCTGCTGTAAATTAAAGCCTTTAAGAAGCAGTGAGCCAGCATCCAACATTGGCTTCCCATCCCAAATCAGTGCATCTGTCTTTTAAATCATATTTCTATAG